ATTGTGAACCGTTAATAACTAGTCTCTGAGAATGGTTACCCAGGCAGTTATGCACTCACTTTCTAGTAGCCCCCATCTAGGTTGCATTTCCCTAGTTTACTGATAAGTAGGTCATGTAAGACCATGTCAGATGCCTTACTAAAGTCTAGGTATAACATGTCCACCGCTTGTCCCTTATCCACAAAGCTTGATATCCTATCAAAGAAAACTATCAGATTGGTTTGACATGATTTGTTCTTTACAAATTCATTCTGGCTGTCACCTTATTATCTTCCAGGTGTTCACAGATAGATTCCTTAATTATTCACTCCATTATCTTCCCTAGCATAGAAGTAACTAACTAGTCTGTAGTTTCCTGGGTTGTTCTTATTTCCCTTTTTATAGATGGACACTATATTTGTCCTTTTCCAGTCTACTGGAATCTCTCCTGACTTCCATGATTTTTCAAAGATAACTAAAGACTCAGATACCTCCTCTATCAGCTCCTTGAGTATTCTAGGATGCACTTCATTAGACCCTGGTGACTTGAAGACATCTGACTTTTCTAAGTAATTTTTAACTTTTTTATTTTAACTTCTAAATCTACCCCATTTCCACTAACATTCACTATGTTAGACATCCTGTCACCATCCATCTTCTTGACGAAAACCAAAACTAAGAAATCATTAAGCACCTCTGCCATTTCCAAGTTTCCTGTTATTGTTTCTCCCTCTTCACTGAGCAATGGGCCTACCCTTCCTTAGTCTTCCTCTTGCTTCTAATATACTTGTAGAATATCTTGTTACCCTTTATGTCTCTACTTAGATTAGCTTATTTTGTGCCTTTACCTTTCTAATCTTGCCCCTACATACCTGTGTTCAGGGGCGGCCCGTAAATGTAGGCAACCTCGACAGTTGCCTCGGCCGCCACATTTAACGCGGTGCCCAATGATGACATCACGGCATTGAGGGCTATGGAGGCGGGGGTGCCGAACGCACATTCCGCCCAAGGCGCCAGTTGCCAGCAGTTCTCCTCGAGCCACTCCTGCCTGTGTTGTTTGCTTATAGTCAACACTTGTAATTTGACTGAGTTTCCACTTTGTATATGACCCTTACTCTTGACAATTACACAATCTTATTTATTTCAGGATTTCTAAAATCTTAGAGAAGAAAAAGAAGTTTATGAATACAATTCAAGGAAATGTAAACTGTATAGTACGGAACACAGCTTTAGAAGGCTGTACAGGCTAACATGAGCTGAGGAATTGTTAAAATACAATGGAACAAAAAGGGCTGTGCTGCATTGAACACAGAACTTACCATATTTTGCCTCTTGTCCCCATAATTTGTAATGGTTATATAATGTATGAATGTTTCAACAGATATTGCCTAGGCACAATTTCTTACTCCCTAGGTCTATTTGATGACTGATGTGCAAAATCATTTCAAAAGTGAAAGTTACATTTTAAATTCCAATTAGAGATACTCAGCTCATTACATCATTGAGCTTACCTCACAAGACAAACTGGACTTGATCAAAAACACATTAATTACAGACCACAAAAATGTCAGCTACTCTTTTGTATGAAAGAAAGGCTGCTTCCCTTATTAACTTGACAAAGCACACTTTGAGAAGAGTAACACTAGAGAATAATTGAAACAAGGCTAACCAAATTTTCTGAGATGGGAAAAATCATGTAAAACATGACAATATAACAATTATTTTAACAGATTTAACAAGAGTTGTCTGCAGAATACATTTGGCAGATCTGCTTTGGCTAAGTTTACTCTAAACACCAGTCCATTAAAGGAGCTTTAGTAGTACTTTGTAAGATACAAGAAATTCCAGGCTCAAAGTTGAAGAAAAAAATTTCTATTTCCCTGACCTCTGGTCATTTCAGCCCTGTTGTTGTTCAAGGGCAACACTAGTTAAATATCTGGCTACTGGGTCAAGTTATCTATTTAAAAAGACAACATCCCCCAATCGTACAAGAGATGGGACGGGGGGAATTAAAGTACTCCTAATCTCCATGTAAGACTGGACCTATGCAAGACTACTCCCTCGTACAGCAACTGCTTTTACTCATTTGTCTCAGAGTTTCAAATTTCTATCTCAGACTTTAGGTTTAAAAACATGCCCATTTTGATAAGGGCTTAAAAGATCCAATAGTTACTAATTTATCCAGAAGAATGTGGACAGAATAAAAATCTCTAACTCTGAGTTGCCTTTTCAAGTAAAGGAGTACAGGTTGAACCTCTAATTCAGAACTCTCTCATCCAGAAACATGCGTCATCCAGAATGATTTTAGTTAGCTGGATGTCCACTTTTTGTGGGCGTGGCCAAGTTTCCCACAATCCAATAAAGTCTGTTTATGTCCACCAGTCCTTGCTCTCAGTGTTTTGTGCTGTTATTTAGCTCTAATTTACCCCTAAATGACCTCTAACAGTACAGTCTAGCAGCTTCCTCTGCTTATAATATTGACCTCCCATGGTCCAGAAAATTCTCTCATTCAGAACTGGTCAGGTCCCGCGGGATCCAGACTAGAGAGGTTCAACCTGTAGTGTCTCACCTTTTTTCCTAATCACCTTACTAGATAATACACTACACTTTGAAGGCATCATTTCAAGTGACATGTAAACAGATCCCGGAATCTTAGCTGCTGCTCATTAAAAGAGAAATGCATTTTTTAGACATCTTTAACAGAGGCATTTTCCTTCTCCTCAATGTCTCTTTACCAGTGGATAAAGGAAGGTCATTTTTATAAAACAATCTTTAGGAGTACATCCAGAAGACAAGCTGCTTCTTAATTCCCCAAAGAATTTGGCGAAGCTTCTACTCTGATCTCATGAGGGAACACTGGAAAAGAACTTTAATTAGGTCAATCATTTCTAAGCTCAGGACAATGGCAGTCAAACTGTTTTTTGACCTGCCAAGGCAGCCTTCATTACAACAAACAGATAAAACCAAAAGGAGACTGCAATTTGTGACTTGCATGAATCACTGATCAACAACTGAATGTACTAATCAACTTTCAGTTTCATTATTGCCAGTTATTTAATACAGTCAACAATAAATCCTTACTTTGTAAACAAACTAAGTGGAGAGAAGGATTGGACAACAGATTAGCAAATTATTTTAGTTTAAGTATAGAAGGATAAGCCACGGTAACTACCATAACTACATAAATTTGTTAGTATTTGAAAAATACACTTTGTTTTAACCCTTTGACAACTGATGTTGAAAATAAATAAGATATTCCAGTGTTTTTCATTAGTAAGTTATGTTTTCAGAGCTGAGTGTGTTGCAGTGGCTAAAGAGACAAAGTTTTGCAGGCCATTTTTTTAGCTCAGCTGTGGATAAAAAATTTTCATCTGTCCAGGGCTCTAATAATAGGCATGGTGTTGTTACAACACACCACAGAATTATCCTGCCCCCAACAACTACAAATCAGACATTTCATGAGTAGATGCTGTTTGGTTAGGGAAGTGAATGCTAAATGAATACCTTAGAAGAAACCAATGGGGGGGGGGGGGGGCGGGAGAAAAACGGATTCAAATGCAAGATCTTTTTTTACTGCCATTAGAATAAAGTTAGAAGTACCAACTCAGTCTACAGTGTTATAATCAATAAAACCAGGGATGCAAAACAAAAAGAGAAGCAACTCTACCACCTAGTGGTTATGACAATTCACTGTGTTTTTATTCTTCGTATGTTCTAGTCTTAAAATTCACACAAGTGCATTTAAATTCACTGATTTCCTGGTCTGCTAAAATAAGAATTTATCTAATTATTGATTTGAAGAAGTTTCTCCTAACAGAACAAAAGGTGCTTTTTAAACATATACAAAAAGTGGGCAAATTTTATGTTTAACATGGGAGAGGGGGAATTGTTATATTAGAACAAATGTTCAACTACTCTGAGAAACTTGAAGTACGGATATTTAGTATGTCACAAATTAAATGTTATACCTTCTCTTTCCTTATACTTCCCTTTTTAAGCTGTCGGACATTGTGTACAACATATATTTAACTGCTGCAGCAACAGAATTCTGTACACTCTCCCAGAACACATGAAGAATGAAAAAAAAAATTGAGAAATGATTTCAATTTTTAAAGGCTTGGGGATAGACCAAGATACTAAGGTGTCAGGAGTAATTTAAGGTTTTTTTTTCTTTTATATATTTAAATAGAGTTTGACATACTATCAACTCAAGGGCTTTTGAACAGAAAGTGACCATGTGCAATGGAAAAGTGAGCTTTTTGTGGAGTTCATCTTTTTTGTCCAGATTTTATCAGCAATATTTTCTTTTCCCTTGCTAGTATTTCTGTGGATCATATCTGAAGGGAAGTATGTCCAGGCCCAATAGCAGCTCTAAACAAACTGAGCAACACAAAAAATGAACTGAATTGCCCACAGCCACAATGCAGCTCCAGGTGCGGAATCTAGAACAGAACTCACATTTTCCAATTTAAAGTGCCCTGTCCTTTGGAAAGCTGTGCTGCACTAATGCATGAAAGGAGAAAGTGAGCCTGACTATACCCAAAGCACTCAAAAAGTAAAGAAGCTTGGAAGGGGGAAAAAACACTCCTAAATCTTTCAAATTTTAGTAATCCAAGCAGTTATTCAACAGTATGTGTTTACACGTGAGAATTTCATTTTCTGTGGGGGATTTTACTAACAATCTAATGCTCCAATCCTGAAAGCTGATTAATGTGGTTCTGCACAGGCACTGGAGGTGGGGAGAACCTCACACGTTAAGTCCCACTGTTTAGTTTAAAGGGTTGGGACTTAAGTTAGTTGTATGTAATGCTTTAGGCAAATTTGATCATTCCTCTTACTGTGATCTCCCTCCCCCCCCCAAAAAAAAAAAACCTCTCTTACTGTGATCTCCCTCCCCCCCCAAAAAAAAAAAAACCTTTCAAAGAAGTGTAATGAAGGTAGAGAAAGAATTATAGAGTCAAAAAAAATGAACACAGTCTGTCAAGAACAATGTGCATCAGTCCTTCTATGACATAACTTACTTTGAAAATATGGCCATAAGCTTCCTTCTGTTCCTTCTTGGCTCAGAATCTTCATCAAACTCTTCCATCTCTTTTCCTAGAAAAACCTCTTGATGAAACTCCTTGTTAAGATGTCCATCCATCTCCATTTTGACCCCATTTAGGTGGTCTGGAGGCAAGATTTCATTCTCATCTTTGCTGTCAACCACTTTCTCTTTTAAGGCAGAATT